CATCATGTTATATATATATACATGTATTCAAAATGGCTGATTTTGAATGCTGTTCCAGAGCAATATCTCTCAATATGGACAAGTACTTTTTTGACGATCAGATACAAATGTCAATCATTTTAATGTTAAAAAATCATATTCCTGGCATGGTTATATTCCAGCTATATTACTATAAACAAAACTATATATCCTAAATTTGATAACTAACGGGGACTGTGCCATGCATGGCTTGTTTCATTTTATTAGGAACAAATTAGTAGCAAATGATTACGGTAGTGCAATCCGGTCATGCTGCGTTTCACAATTGTTGATTATTACCTAGTATAATGATTATAATAACGTACAAAAAATAAATTCGTTGAATTGTTATGAAATGCAAATAAATTTCAACTTATTTCATCGTAAGCGAATGATTCCGATCACATTTTCAACACTCAATTCTGTAGAAATGAATATCCGCCATGTTTTGACCTGAAATGGTGTTCTTTGACCTAATAGGTCAAATCAATAATTAACCAATGAAAACGATGGATGATGCCCACGTGTTCAAATTATCATAGCTCATTTAAATATGTTAATGTTATTGAACGCAGCACAGAAGAGATTTGCTGATGTTGTTGCATGATCATTTGGCTTGGATTTTAATGGGAAAGCGTCATGATTTGATTTTTAAATAAAAAAATTATAGTTGTTTTCAAAAAATAAACTGAGCATTTGAAGAATAATTTAACATTGTTAACAGCGGTAATAGCTCATTGTCGAAACGAAGCTAACCCATTCATGCTAGTCGCAATAAACATCAATACTCTTGAATAGGCGTCAATGACTACGGCGAAACTTTTAGACATCAGAAAAGATTAAAATAACACCTTAAAAAACTGCTGAAAAATTGCCCTGGGCAGTTTCTTGGTCCCATTTTTTATTTTTAAAAACCAAACTGCCATTTAACGGCCCTGGGCGAATTTACAGCAGAATCCAGTATAGTTCTACAGCAAGTTGATGAATACAACTTTTCAATAAGTTGTCTACTTTAGTGACAAAATGCTTTGTGATGTAAACATTGTGTTGATGGATGTAGTGTGTAAGCGATGTCATTCAACTCATGCATCTGTGCGTTCATCCGTCCGTCCGGAGTCATATCTCGGAATCCCTTGGACCGATTCCGTTCATTCTGTGCATGTGCCTAGTACTTTATGTGGGACATATACACATGCAGTGGTTTAGCGATTCGATTCAAAATGGCCGACTGGCAGCTATCTTGTTTTTTAAAAATGTTGTATTTTGAACATGCTTTGTCAGTTTTCATTCAAACTTAGTACAAAGATTATGTATGTTAGGATACATGTCCATGACGATTTATTTCACAATTAGATCAAAGATAGCCGACTGGCAGCCATCTTGTTTTTTGAAAATGTCGTATTTTGGACATGCTTTGTCAGTTTTCATTCAAATTTAGTACATAGATCATATATGTTAGGATACATGTCCCCGACCATTCCTGAGTCTGTCCATCCGTCCGTGTGTTCGTCCGTTCGTGCGTCAGTCTGTCCAGAGTCATATTTCAGAATCCTGTGGACCGATTCCGTTCATTCTTTGCATGTGCCTAGTACCTTATGTGACACATAGGCACATGCAGTGGTTTAGCGATTCGATTCAAAAAGGCTGTCTGGCAGCCATCTTGTTTTTTGAAAATGTTATATTTTGGACATGCTTTGTCAGTTTTCATTCAACCTTGGTACATATATTATACATGTTAGGATATATGTCCATGACGATTTATTTCGCAATTGGATCAAAGATGGTCAACTGGCAAGCATCTTGTTTTTTTATATGCGGTATCTTGGATGTGCTCTGTCAGTTTTCATTCAAATTTAGTACATACATGTACTTTATACATGTTAGGATGCATGTCCATGACAATTTGTTTCAAAATCTTGTCAAGGATGGCCGATTGACAGCCATCAGACTTTTTAGCTCCGCTGTCGACTTTGTCGAGCGGAGCTTATCATATGAGTGATTGTCTGTCGTCCGTGTCAATGTTTTACTTATTCGACTTCTTCTTGAAAACTACAAGCCTGAATGCTTTGATACTTGGTGTATATGTACCTTGGGTAGACCTCTCTCAGATTTGTTCATTTCATGATCATATCTTCAATTCTCTAATTTTGGTGAATATTTTGTCATTTTTGGTAAAAAGTGATATTTTCGACTTCTTGTTAAAAACCGCAAGTCCAATCGCTTTGATATTACATATATAGGTACTACATGTGGACCTCTCTCAGATTTGTTCATTTCACAATGATATCTTCAATTCTCTAATTTTGGTGAATATTTTTGTAATTTTTGGTAAAAAGTGATATTTTCAACTTCTTGTTAAAAACTGCAAGTCCAATTGCTTTGATATGACATATATAGGTACTACACGTGGACCTCTCTCAGATTTGTTCATTTTCTAATGATATCTTCTGTTCTTTTATTGCCATGTGCATTGCTAACAGCGGAGCTATCTCAGCCGACAGGCTGCTTGTTGGCCTTACTACTATATTTCCACAATTTATGTACCATTTTCATTCATATTTGACACATACATCATACATATCAGTGTGTTTCATAATCAGATCAAAGAGGGCAGAATAACGGCTGTTTTTATTTTTGGCCATATTACTACTACACGGAACACGTGTTTTGATGTAAATAAACAATCTGTTGTATACGCCACTTGGAACTCAAGTTTCAAGGACATGCTCGGGACAACCCCTTCGCTTTAATATGACGAGCACAAAGGGAACTTTCAAAAATTTAACGGGGACTGTGTCATTTTCAATGACTTGTTTATCATGTGCCAAATCCCTAAAAAACAATGTTTTTTTATTGAGGGACGATCAAAAGTCAAAATACCCATCTATGTCATCGTTCAAAGTATAAATTAACCATTTTTTTTTTTTAAATTCTGGAGAATACAAGCCATAAAGTGTTTTGCATGCATGCTAAGTTGTTTTTTGCTTCAAAGAAACTTTTATGACATCATTTGTGTCTTTGAATGTAAATTCAGCCATATACAATAAGTGGTGACATGTATGTCATTGACAGCAGCATTTTCCATATCATATTTGGTTAAAGCCTTTGCTATGTCTCATGCATTAATTTTGGTTGGTTGCTATCAGCAATTAATCAAACAAATCAAACATTTTCAGGTTATTGGTTATAAGGAATAATTCAAATTAGATTTGATTTCTTGTGTATTGTAATTTTGTTATAATTTTAAACTCACAATGGTACTGATGTGATTGCAATTTTCTTTAACAGATCAACTCATGCTGCCCCTGTGAAAAGACTGGTGCAGCCGAAACTAATCATGCAGCGAAGTGAGCATCCAAAGGGTCCTGGATCAGCAAGATCAGTTGCTAAGCAGCGACTAGCTGGAGTGAAGGATTCAGATGTAGTAGAGGACAGTGTTACTACAGCTGTTGCTGCAACTGCTGCTGCTGTTGCTGCTGCAGCTCCGATGATAAAGGTTTGATTGAAAACAATTTATTTTTTGTGCTTGTGTACAATATTCAGTGGTTGCCATCTAATAATAATAAGTATGTGTCCGCTGTTTGAAAACACAAACAGGCAAATTGACACTGACTACAATAATCAAACCAGAAAATTGACCAAAATAGCTGTACTACAGTACTGGACAAAAATTGTTATACTGCAGTACTGGTTTATTATGACGTGTAATCATGGTTCTGTATAGTACTGGATATCAGTAGCAGGTATTAATTCATACATGTATATACACATTACTTATTTTTGTCTATATTTAAAAAAACACACACATTATTTTAACTTCTGTCTGTCTGATTACTGAAATCATTTTGGAATCAAACTGTACTCTCAAAGCGAATCCTGGCAAAAGCCAGACATGTACACTCGCCCGACTTAACATAACACCAAAATATTGTATTTGTATCATTCCAGGCACAGTCTGACTTGGAAGCTAAGATAAATGCAATGATGGACAAGTTGTCTGGGTTTGAGGATGCAAGGTTGAAAGCAGAACAAGAACAGCATGTACAACATGCAAAGGAGCTTGAGAAGCAAGTGGATGAGCTGACTCAGATTCGTTTGAAGCACTTGGAGGATATGCAAAAAGAACAACTAAACTTGCATGTGAGTTCAATTGTAAATGTGGATGTAATCAATTTTGTTTTCTCTTTGAGCTGTCCATTGATGAGATTGGATAGCTCAATAAAACTTTACTTATTTATGGTGCTCATCATTTTGTTTCATTTTATCCTATGAAGGCGAAACTTATTGAAAATCATACAAGATCTAAACAGGACTCAAGACCTGCTTACAGCACTGATGCAAATATCTACACTTCCACTCCGAACTATTCAGTTTCTGTCCCGTCCATTGCCCAACCGAGTAGACTTCCGAATCACAAAATGTCGCAGCCGGGAAAACTTCAAAGTAGGTATCATCCCGCTGCCGTGTTTCATCCCATGTCTGATGCAAGTCCAGTTCACATTGTCAGCAAACCAACCCAAACATCACCCCTAGATACTCCAGCTCCGAGGAAGAAACCGCCCACTCCACTGCCGTCCCAACCCACTGAGCAACCAAAGCCAGGTAGGTTTCATTTTGGGGAATTTCATTGAATTTTGGGCTGCACACACTATAAATGCTCAGAGCTCTGGCAAGGATTTATAAGATTAGGGTATGCAAAGGTGTGATATGATATGAAGATCTCACACAAAAATCACACAAATTGCAATATGATCCTAAAACTGCAAGACCCACATTTGAGGTATGTGTGGGTATCAAAATCGGTACTCTGCGCCGCCTTACATTTCATACCTCTACATTTCTAGAAATCCTAATGCAGCTGTGATAATTCATGAATTCATTTTATTAACTGAATCACATGTCTGACTTTTTGCCAAATGATTTTTTTTTTTTCATTTTAAAGAAGTCCGTGGGTTGTTGGAAGAAATATTGTCGCCCAGTAATTATCAGGCTGTACAGAATATCCCAACACCGACCATTGGTGTTAGTCGACCAGCAATGGACAATAGCCTGGAAAGGTGAGTGAATCATTATATTGTCTATGCAAAAGTACCTCACTGCTATAGGTATATGTTCACCCACAACCGCCTTCACAACTATGCAAGTAATTTGTTCTGATTTCCATTATTCCCACGCATGGAATATGGAATAATTATTTATAATCCCACAACATTTCCTCATTGTGATTACAAGTGATTTTTGCTAGCTTTTTGCATCAAACCAAGTCACATGTGAGGAATGATGCAGTACCTCGGTAGTCTGTTGACATCAACCTAAGAGAAAATATCAAGCGATTGTATATTTATCACTTGGAGTTGCACATTTCCACAGTCTGAAAAAGTGAAATGGCCTAGTGTTAAAAGTGAAATTACATCATATGCTAATTTTGTTGATGATAGGATGCTCTTTTTCACATGAACATTTTGTGTGCTCTGTGTGGTGCTTCTGCTTGTTTCTATTATTTGCTCCAATTTGCAAGTTTTTGTTTTACCTTCAACAAATGAATAATAATTTCAAAAATACACACATGAGCTGGCCAAAGTGAACCATTTTTACCACAATCTGTAGCAGTGTGCTTTTTTGGGGGAATCTTGAGCCAAAATTAAATCCTCAAAAAACAAGTTGAGTCAGCTTCTGAGAAGGTCGGTCGTCAGGAAATTGTGAATGTATACATTAGTCACATACAAAA